GAGAGAGAGAGAGAGAGAGAGAGAGAGAGAGAGAGAGAGAGAGAGAGGAAAGATATGGAACAGACGCGCCAATTAAAATCTTTGGCTCCTCTTTGTGTGTTTGTCGCGGGTTCACGAACTTTCGATCTCTCGATCTCGACGATAGAATCGTGTTGTGAGTGAGAAAAAAAAAAATTGTATTGCATCAATTGTAAAATAACACGATATACAACGTAAAGTAATTTATATTAGTATTAAGAAGTAGAGATAAATAGAAATAAACAAATTATTATATACAAAAATTATTATATACGCTCATTCCATACATTTTGAAATTCCAATCATCTAATCATTCATTAATTCCACTCTTTCGCTCTGTTATTCTAGAGCAAGCAAAAGGTATTCTCATAAAAGTCTCCAGAATTGTAATCTGTAATTGCACAAAAATTTTTATTTTATTATATCAATTTATATCGAACAATCGAAAAATATTCTCATAAAAGTGTCAATACTGTTCAATATTCAATCTCGATTTTTTTTTTTTTTTTTTAGGAACTAGGACGCGATATCTGTCGTATACTTCTTCCCTGGGCTTCTCCCCCTCCTTCTCCCCCCTCCTCCCTCCATGAATCTCATGATTAATCAACACGTAACCCTCGGGCGACCTCGCGCCGGATTATTGAATCTCACGCGAAAAAAACGTCACGACGAGGAGAGGTTATAATAGCAAGATAAGAAACTGTTCTGCCCACGTTGTCGCCGGTTAATTAAGCCGTGATGAGTGCCCAAGGCGGCGAAAATGTCTCTTTTCATGGCAGAAGTGCCTCACGCTTCGAATTACATGGTCTTAGGGGGTGAGATATTACGGTTTGATTGATGAGCCATGGTTGATTGATCGTGGAACAACGAGTTTCGTGGGGTGTTTTGTGATTGAAATTGGATGGATCGCTAAAGGATTTGGGGAGGGGAGAGGGAATTGCTGGAAGAGTTTCCTGGTTATTGAGCAGAAGATTTGTTGGATTAGGTGTAATCCTGTAGATTGTTGTTTCTCTGGTGTATGATATAGAGATGGATTTCATCTCTTTTTATTGGTAGATTAGGGATTTTTGTTTCTTTCAAATTTATTTCTTCTGTGAAACTGATGAGAAATTGTACAACAGGATAATAGTATAATTTGATGAGTTTCTTAGAAAGAATTGGTTAAGATATAATTTAAATAACTATTTGTTGTTATATTTTATTATACATGTCACTTGAGGATTTTTATTTTTATAGATAATTTGATAATAAGTAATTGTAAAAATATATTTGATAATTAATTATGTCATTATTTAACAGTAATGAATTTTAATTTATATTTATGATTTAATAATCAGCAAGCCAATTTAAATATCATACTTAATATGTTGTAATATTTTATTTTAATATAATGTATTAATATAACATTTTAACCATTGAGAAATAAATTAAAAAATTATTTGCTGTAAAGAATTTAATTTAATCAACAAACATATATATTTTCTTTAAAAATTATTTAAAAAACATCATTATAAAGAGTTAACCAATTTAGTAAAGATAAATATTTGCACATACTTCTAGTAACATTAAATTCCCTAAAATTAATCGATCGCGAAAACACGAATCGATATATCGCTTCGCGAGGAATCGAAGTGAATTCTCTGCAGTCAAGGTCCAATCCGTTAAGAGCAAAATGGCGGGATTTCAGAGCTGCCGATAATCGGCGAAATCGTGTCGAAATTGGCCATAGATTATCAGGGATCACGCGTCAAGAATATTCCGCACAACTCGATTAATCCCATTTGGATTCGAAATGCGTCGTTTCATAATTGAGAACCGAAGGGAGCCCATCGAGTACTCATAAAGAAATTAACACGAAGTGTAATTGAGTGATTGATGCTTGAGAAATCGTTTAGACTTCTCGCCGTTAAAACGTTCGCTTCCGACTGATTATAGAGAGTGTTTTATGAAGTATATTTTATACGTCGATTTTTTTTTTTTTAATAGAAGTGCTTTTTATCTTTCCAAGATGTTCCACGTAAATTTATATACATCAAATATGTATGTGAAAGAGGTGATAGAAAGCGTTTCAAATTTAAATGAGTAAATTATGCGTATAATATAAAAATATACGACTTATAACATAGAAATAAAATATAACGTTCTTTAATATATATTTTATATCTTTCATAATATAGACAAACATAGATATAATAGAATGATTTTAGATTTCTTCCTTAAGAAATTGTAACATACAAAAAAGAAAAAAATTGAAAATTGAAATTTCTATTATAGAATATATTTACATTAATTGTATTAAATTTGTTTTAATTCCAACATCTCGTATCTCGATTGTGAAATACTCTGTACATTTTCAAAGAACTTGAAAAGGAATTACAAGCGTTAATTTAATCCTTTATCCGTTTCATTGATGCAGACATCAGGTACAGCTATGTGGTGGATCAGCAACCGATTGGTAGACTGTTGTTCAGGCAATTTTGCCAGGACAAGAAACCATCCTACCATCGGTACAATCTCTTTCTGGACGCCATCGAGAAATACGAGATCGAGATGGATGAGAATCGGACCGAGCTGGCCAAGGACCTGTTCGAGCAATACCTGAAGAGAGAGGGCTCAGAGGTCGTCGACATCCTAAACGATTCTTTGATCGCCCAGTGTGAGGAGAGGCTCAGCACTGGCGGCAAGGAGCTCTTTGTGGAGATCGCGCAGACCGTGAAAAACTTCCTCGCCGGCGAGCCTTTTTCAGCTTTCCAAACCAGCTTTTATTTCTATAGGTAATTTAACTCAAACTGAAGTTTTTTCTTTTAAAAGACGGTTGGTCTTTCGTTGAGATTTATTCATTTGAGGAATTATTTTTTCAGAGATTCAACGGAATATTATTTTCCACTAACGTTAAATAAAAAGTATAATTTATTTTTAATGTTTGATAATGTTTAAAATGAAATATGGTAATGAGAAGTTATCAGTTTAAATATTTCAAATTTTAATATAGCTTTAGATGAAGAAAAAAATAATAATTTATTGCTAATAGTGATTATCAAAAGTTAAATTAATTTATATGAATAATTATTGAACGTAATTATTATAGCATGATTAATTAAAATAACCATTCCAATCTTCCACTTACAGTTCCAATGAAACCTGTCAATCATCTACATCTTTATCTCGCCGACAAAGCGTCCCATTAAAAGTTCTCTAATCGACAAATATTTGTCTGCAATACTTGTAGTGTTTTATCAATGCCATTTCTCATATCCTAACAATCGCTCTCTCTTTTCTCAGGTATCTTCAATGGAAGTGGCTGGAGGCCCAACCAGTCACGTACAAGACCTTTCGCATGTACAGAGTGTTGGGAAAGGGTGGGTTTGGCGAGGTATGCGCTTGTCAAGTACGAGCAACAGGAAAAATGTATGCGTGCAAGAAATTGGAGAAAAAACGGATCAAAAAACGAAAGGGGGAAGCCATGGTACTCATAGAGAAGAATATATTGCAAAAGATCAACTCTAAATTCGTCGTGTCCTTAGCGTATGCCTATGAGACCAAGGATGCATTGTGTCTAGTTCTGACAATTATGAACGGTGGAGATTTGAAGTTTCACATTTATAACATGGGCGGTGAGCCTGGTTTCGACATCAATCGTGCCAGGTTCTATGCAGCCGAGGTGGTCTGTGGCCTGGAGCATTTGCATTTACAAGGAATAGTTTATAGAGATTGTAAACCAGAGAATATTCTGCTAGATGATCATGGCCATGTAAGAATATCTGATCTTGGTCTGGCTGTGGAGATAACAGAGGGCGACATGGTGACAGGAAGAGTTGGTACAGTTGGATATATGGCACCAGAGGTGATTGACAATGAGAAGTATACATTTTCACCTGATTGGTTCAGTTTTGGATGTCTTCTGTACGAGATGATAGAGGGTCAAGCTCCGTTTCGTGCAAGGAAGGAAAAGGTGAAGCGGGAAGAAGTGGACAGGAGGGTAAAAGAAGATCAAGAAAGGTATTCCGCTAAGTTTACCGAGGAGGCGAAGAGTTTGTGTCAGCAATTATTAAAAAAGAGCCCGAAGAACAGACTGGGTTGCAAATGCGGTAGACACGGCGCCAAGGAAGTAAAGTTGCATAACTTCTTTCAGTGTTTAAACTGGAAGAGGGTCGAGGCCGGTATGTGGGAACCGCCGTTTGTGCCGGATGTGAGTAGGTGTCGTTCAAATTTTAATTTGCCTTTTATACTTTCCTTATTTGGGAATAATGGCATTTTTTAAATATATAATTATTATGATGCAAAATCATAAAATTACAGCAAATATAATTAACTTTAATATGAATAGTTATTAAAAATAAGTCAAAAATATTAAAATTTTATATAACACTTTATATATTTACTTATGTTATTTACAGCCTCATGCGGTGTATGCTAAAGATGTATTGGACATTGAGCAATTTTCTACAGTGAAAGGTGTCAATTTGGATGCCACCGATGATACCTTCTATAGCAAATTCAATACTGGTAGCGTGTCTATCCCATGGCAGAACGAGGTAAATCTTTTAACGTACTTTCAATATTAATATCGGTTTTCAGAGAGAGAGAAAGAGAGAAAAAGAGGGGAGAGGAACAAACATCTTGATATAGTTATAGTATCGAAATGTATTTTCTATTTACATCGAAAAATATAGCACACCAAAAGTGTTCCTTGTACGTCATAGGCAGTCTGCTATCGTTCCAGTAAACCAGTTTTAGCATTCAAAGCAATCTATATTGCAGTTGCGTTTATCATAAAGATTTATGCTTCGTTCGATCAAAGAGATTCTATTTTCTGCGCAGTAAAACTGGCCCTCTTTGTTCCAGATGATAGAGACTGAGTGTTTTAAGGAACTGAACGTGTTAGGTCCTAACAATACACCTACTCCTGATCTATTGATCAACCATCCACCACCAAATAACGAAAATAGAGGCTGCTTCCCATTTCGAAGACAGGTGAATCTTTTTCTTTGGCTTGTATATATTATTAAAATGTTGATGTCTAAACTAAAAAGAAATTAAAAAAAGAATATTATCCATTCCATAATCAACAAAGGTAATTTATTTTAGTGTATATATTTAAATTATAATTCGAATAATCAATTAAGTTAATAAAAATGATAGATGCTTTATAAAATTTTTGAACTCGTATAGTAATTATATATTAGAACGTTAAAATTATTCGATCAATTAATTATAATGATTCGTTTCTTTTTTTTTTTTTTTTACTTCTAGAAAAAGCAAAGTGCTCGTACAAGACAGATACCATTATCAGAGTGTCATCTACTGGAATTGTCGCAGAGCCAAAACTCGGAGATGCCAGCCAGCTGATCCAAGGTGAATGCAAATAGTGTAAATCAACCGACATCGTCGTCTATGCGACGTCGTCGTTGCGGACGACGTCGACGAGCTCTCAGATGCTGCCCGAAGCTGCTTTGAAACAGGAAAAACAACAAAAAATGATGCCTGACTGAACTCCGCAACTTTGGCGCCGATTTTTGGTGTACAATCTCATGAGATTCACACTCATCTATAAGAGGGCTAGCTGAGAAGAGGCATTTTCAGCACCAGAAGCACATGACACATGTTTTCTCAGGTTTCTCGGAGCAAGAAGCGACGAATACGTTGATACTTGCGAGAATGATACGTTCAAATACGTTTGTAATAAGAGTAACATAGAACATAGCGCCTCCTAATCTTAAAAATCCAAGAGAAATGTTGCTCTTGTTGCAAAGAAATAGTGGATGCAACTGTAGTTATTACATCGAAATATGAAATTCTTTATGAATGAAATTAATCGCAAAATATATTTATTTTTGCGTGTGCAGCGCTTGATATTTATTTTTTATTGAATTAAAATGCAATAGTAGATATTTATGGAAGATGACGTTTGGATATTAAATTCTTATTATGTTTTACAGCCATTACTGAACTGTATTCTTTATTCAATTGGTCTATGTACACTTAATGCACACGAATACGACCGTGATTTCGAGCATTCACACGCGAGCATGTGTGCAATGTTCGCGTAAATATGTTTACGAATGGCGCAATTACATATCGGTAATTGGGGTCACGTGCATATAATTTTGTATGTGTACTTAGAGCAGTCGATAGGCGCGTGCACATGCGATAATGATAGTAAGAATGTTATTAACGGATAAAGAAAATATACGCGTGAAAATTGTAATATGATAAAAATTTACTGTGAAAAAAATGCTCCGATGGAACCGAAAAAATTTTCTTTCGTTTCTTGGAGCAAGTTCCAGTGGCATTCTAATTTTTTAACGAATCTTTTACTTAAAATTAATTGTATTCGCTGCTTAAAATAATCACAGGGTCGCTTGTGTTAGAATAATGACTAAAGATATTTTTTTTATTATTATATTACTTTTAAAGATATTCCTAGTATTCTTGATATTTAGTTTTTTTTTTTTTTTTTGAATACATGATCCTCTGATTATTTTTAGTATAGAAATATAAAATAATTTAAAATTCAATCGAAATTTATTTATAATCAATGTATTCTTTCTTGATTGACAATCTTCCAATTTTATTTTGGAATGTACATTGCATTGCTCAAAGTAGTCACTGAATCCTATACTCAAATTATATCTTGAAAACTCCAGATTATAATATAAATTACAATTTAAGTTCATTATTTTGTGAGCAGTGTAATTGTCGACTGCCTAATTAGTTCAATTTTCTTCTCAAGTGAAACTCGAACCGAGTAGATGCATTTAAGGAGCATTAAAAGTCTGTGTTTTGATACTTTTACTTTTTGACGGATGTTTGTGTGTATATATATATTATATATATATACATATATATATATATAATTCTTTTTAAGTACGAATGGTTTTCAACGAGGAGAAACCCGTCCTGAGATACGCACAAATTGATATGCGATTCAGTTTTCTTTTTTATAAATGATTCAGTTCGTAGTATATTAAAATATACTCTTATCGAATATTTCCAAGACCTTTTCAAGAAAAAAATCGATGAATCGCACAGATAACAAAGCATATGAATGCTATTAAACGCATACACTAAGATTCATTTATAATCTGAGTTGAGGAGAATTTGTTATGCTATTGAAAAAAGAATTGGCTATAAGTATGTAAACGAGAACATGAGGCTAATAGCGAACCAAGAAAAAGAAATCTCTTTCAAGATTATTGATAAATTATTGCAATTACATGGCTCGTTTTATTAGTCTTTGATTCTCGTTAAA